AAACTTGTGTGGTGCATTAGTCAACGCATAATGAACCTTAACATGCAGCTTTTTGGCCGATTGGATTACATATTGGTAATTAGGCAGCATTAGAAGGAATAAGGAAAAAAAGAGAGAATGGTTCAAGACAAGTCTGTGTGAAAATATCCAAAATCTAGATGACCACATGCTGGCAAATCCCCTCGTCACATCACATTACCTCGCCGCTCCTACATGCACGCAAATTCTTCCACATGTGCATGCACAGTCACACTCTATTAGCTTGCGACGAGTGCCATCCACCCCACAGAGACGGTATCCAACGACTTTTGAGAGGCAGCGACATGAGAGAGCGGTGGGAAGAGTCAGGGCCATATAAAGGCTTTGATGCTGCATGAATCAAAGATGCCTGCTGGGTCCACAGACAGAGGCTAGTGTTTAGCTCTAGCTCCGAGGCACACGCAAAGCATTTGTTTGTTTATTTAACGCTTTGCCAGAGTTAAAGAACTTGCACATGCAAAAGAAAAACAAACAGTAAGACATAAAAAAATCCACCCAACTCATAAGCAATGATAAAGAATGTTGGCGCGCACAATATATATCCCTCTTATATCCACGGCTGTTGAATGAAGCATGCCTAAAAACAGACAAATTATGAGGAATGAATAAATCATGGCAGAAAGAAGACAGCAACCAAGGGAAGTTCAAGGCAACAGACAGTAAGAGAGGACAGATTTTGTAGATTTTAAAACGTGGGACGAGTTCTAGTGTCAGAGTCTGGCAGAGCAGGGTGGAGTGGGGGGGCAGACTGCTGAGGTGGGATGATTGATTGATCGCTCACATCTCTGTGGCCCCTCCCTGCTTTATGTTTCACTCCTCATGGATTTTACCCTTTTGGTCTCCCTCACACATAAATCTGAACTGGCAGCTGTCCTTCACAAAAACATATGTGGGACTCTAAGCTCTGGCAAAGGCCAATGAATTTGTCTCCAAGGCCAACTCGCAGACTGGCAGTGTGCTGTGTGCATCATGGGACTGCGGTAGGGTCATCCCAAAATTAGCAATGGACTGTAAGTCACTGGGAATGTGTGAAAGCTTTATAATTACTACCATAAACCTGTAGATTCTATAGACTTTTATTGAGGAGGCTGTGGTTAAGATGCTTTGAAAAAATATTGCCAGGCAGCTGGTGAGCTGATAGTATTTTAGCCCAAGCACAACCTGTGTATGTATTTAAAGATTTTAGTCCAGATATCAACAGATCTGTTCTGTTCTGTTCTGTCCACCCTTTAACGTTTACTTTATGTGATACTTTTCGTCACTTAATGTTTGGATGGTTTATTTTATTCAAACTGGGCTTGAGCTTAAGCTCCAAATCAACTTAAAATCAACTTGTTTTGTTCTGAATTGAGCCTCATGTGCTGACAACTATGCTACAAAAATACAAGCATTGGTGTTGATACACTGCTGCAGGCCCAGATGACAATTACGAAGCCTAATTTGAGCACTACATTTAAACATTTTAAGGTTTATCACATGGCAAAAGCCTCTCTAGACTCTCTTTTCTTGCCCTAAATTGAGACTGCCTCCCCGCCCCATAACCAACAGCTTTGTTGAAGTACAAGACATTAAAGAAAACACAACCAAACTTGATTAGGCAGCATAATCTTGATAAACACACATTCCTGCTATGATCATTAGGTATGTAGTGATCATAAATGTTAGGTGTCTTAAAGCATAACTGCAATACTCAATTCTACGTGAGTACTGCACCTATATATTGTCCTCCATGTTCTGACCCTGTCCTGGCCTGGCATGTGAAACTACCTAGTTAGCTGTATTGGTAATTTGTGAATAGGTTAATGGATGTAGGCCTCCAGTCTCTTGTGACACCGAGCTGAAGCAGAGGAACATTGTTCCCATTCTTCTTCCCTCTCCTTTCTCTGCACCAACGTGGTGATTACTGTACGTATCGATCCGTGGACTGATTGCAATCCTATAATGAAGGAGCCATAATTTGCTGTCTGTCCAGCTCGTTTGCCGGAGGCTCTTTTTTCCACTGTCCATTCCTCCCCAACCTTCTGTGCTTGTTGAGCCATAGTGAATGTGCTACCAAACCATTTGCAGTGTTTCTTTTGTTCGGGGGGGGATGCTGCCAAAAAAGCAGGAAGGTCAATATCGAATGAGCTGTCTGCAGTGAGGTAATGTATGAGTACAAGTGTCACTTGAGTAGACTCTGTTGCCTTTTTATTTTTAACCTCTTAACCCCTGTAGACACATTGTATTTGCAACCAAGTTTGGATGAGCCAAGGTTTCCAATGAGAGAGCATCACATTTTCTAGAAAACATTAGAAACAAGGAGGAATGTAGTGTTATTCTTGAAAGGTTAATGAAAACAAATCTGAAATATCCAAATATAGTGAAACCAAAATAAGCAAATAACTATTGCCTCTCACAATTGTCAGTCACTTTTCAAGGTTTCATCTTTTTGATACTGTATTTTCAAATTAACCAGCACATTGTGCACATATCCACCAATGTAATCACCCACTTGTATTTATTAGTAAAATTCACAAGGTGTCTACAGACTTTATTCTAACCCATGACTAAATGCACTGGCGGGGACATGCATTTCACGAGCCCTTGGCATAAAGACACTTGATTAGATTCTTTTTACTCCTCCACTTTTAAATGTAGCCGCGGGTCACATTTTAAGAGTGCACGGTTCGTTTTATTTAATCCCTTACGCCATTGCCTTGATTGACAGTACTTGAAGGTCGCAATGTGCAGGCGGCAAAGAAAAAGAAAGTAAATCTTTCCATAGAGCTGGTGAGAAATGAATTGAGCACGATTAGCATATTAAATATGTTCTCCACTGGTACACTGGTACTGTAAATTGGGTCACATAACACTGTGTCTCCAGTTGGGCTGCGTCAGGATTGTTTTGTCAGGAGCAAGGTGCCAATGTAGACTCCCTCACTCACTGTCATCTCCATCAGTTTATATGTTACCTGCTCGCTGATTCCCACTTTCATGTTCTTTGGAATAACTTCAGAATAATACTTAATGGGGGATATAGCTGCTGCTTTAATTGCCTGTTGCCTTGGAAACTCACTTTTGTAACAGCAATATCAGCGGCCATGGCAGCAGCCTTGTGACGCCACCCTACCTCTTTCACTCTGATTTTTTCCCCTTTCTCGTTTCTCCTTAGTCATTTCTTTTCTCTCCCACTGTGGGTGGTAGATGACTATTATCACAGTGGAGAGCTTTAACGCAACACAAAAAAAAAAGTTAAGTAAAATGACACTGCCTTGTGTGCTCCTGAATGCCAAGCTCTTTTGGCAACAGAGTGCAAGACAGGGCAAAGTACACTGCTCAAAAAAAAGAAGGGAACACTTAATGTTCACAGTACAAAACCAAGTCAATTAAACATCAGGGATATAAATCTGTCCATTTAGGAAGCACTAGTGTTTGTGTATCAGTTTCACCTGCTTTGGTGCAAATGGAAGTGACAACAGGTGCAATGGAGAGGTAAAAGAAAAGACAACCCCCAAAAAGAGAATGGTTTTACATGTGGTGGCCACAGACAGTTGCTCCTTATCCTTCCTGACTGAGTCTTCTCTTATTTTGTGTTCTGCTCGTGTCCTTGTCAATACTGGTAGAATGAGGTGCTACCTGCAGCCCAATCAGTTTACACAGTTAGCACAGCTCCTCCAGGATTGCATAACCATACATGCATTCCCATGCCTTCCCAGCACAATCTCAAGAGCATGGAGATACCAGGAGACCGGCCATTTACACGAAAACAGCTGGACAGGGCTGTAGAAGGGCACTGACCCAGCAGAAGGACCAGTATCTGTTCCTTTGTGCCCTACAAAATTCCCTTCAGCAGGCCACTGGTGTGCATGTTTCAGACCAAACTGTCACAAACAGACTCCATGAGGGCCTGACATCCTCTAGTGGGACCTGTACTCACAGGACACCATGCAGAGCGATGGGCATTTGCCAGAGAACACCAGAATTGGCAGGTCCACCACTGAACGTTATGCTGCCTGTAACATCATCCAGCATGACCAGTTTGTCTGTGGGACCGTGATGGTCTGAGGAGGCATATCCTTGGAGGGTCGCACAGACCTCCATGTCATAGCCAAGGGTTCCCTGACTGCTGTTAGGTACCGGGTTGAAATGCTCTAAGCGATTGTCAGAACTTACGCTGGTGCAGTGGGCCCTGTGTTCCTTCTGCAGGACAAAGCCCAGCCTCATGAGGCCAGAGTGTGAAGGATGACAAAGGCATTGATGCCACTGACTGACCCTTACGTTCCCCTGACAGAAATCCAATCTATTGAACACCTATGGGATGTTATGTTACGCTGCATCAGAGGCCACCAAGTTCTGCCACAGACTGACAGATCTCACTGATGCCCTGATCCAGGTCTGGGAGGAGAGTCCTGTGGACTCATCAGGAGCACAGACGGGGGTGAAAACAGGCACAAGGAGGCCATACACACTACTGAGTCACATTATTAGTTGCTGTGATGAAATTAAGTTGGATCAGTATGTAATCAAAATGATTTACTTTGATTTTTGGTTTTGAGTCCAGCCCTCAATGGGTTGATGATTTTGGTTTCCATTGACCGCTGTCTCGTAATTATGTTCTCAACAACTGTCAGTAAAGATTTTCAACTTGAATAATCTGTTTGTTCATCAAGATCTGATTTAAGTGTTCCCTTAATGTTTTGGATTAGTGTATGAATACATTCACAATCGGACACATCTAATGGGGATCCTAATGAATAAACAAATAAACAAAGTCCGAATAACCTCAAGGGCCCGCCAGGAAATACAGATGTAGCAATGTCTTCAAAGGGTTAGGCTGCAGATTTTATTTATTGACTTTTTCAGGAAAAAAACTGTTGTGGTATGTTTGAACCCCTGTGAGGCCATTAGTCAGAAAAGCATAATTTGTTCATAAACAGCAGAGGGTAATTTCTCCTTCTGGTAAAAATCTTATTCCACAGAACACCTTCCTCCGCCAACAGAGGTGTCATACAAGTGGCTCAGTGAGATTACTGTGAAGGTGTCATGGTCGTGGCAAAGGCCTAGCGCGCTGCCAAAGGAGTGTGAGATCATGTACTTTGTCGGGCTGGTGGATGACTCAAATCCAGCTGTTTACAAGGTAAGTGTCCTGGTCAAGTCTTGGAGGTTCCATGCAACAATTAGTGAACTCAATTTCGATTTTATTTACATTTTAACCAGCAAAAAGTGATGAAAGTGATAAATATATTGACTCGCCCCTCATCAATCAATCAATCAAATTGTATTTGTAAACCACATATTCACAAATCTGTTAGCCTCATAGGGCTTAACATCTGGGTTAGGGTTAGATCGTGATTGGCTACTACCACCATCACGGTCACGATCCATTAACCACAATCAAAAGACAATCCCAATCATGATCCATCATCACGATCCACCATCATGATTAGACAGCGCAGTGTATAATAGAAATGACACGGTGTGTAATTTATTTAGGATGACTATGACTAACCAACTCAGTGATGAAACAGATGTAACACAAATACCAGAAACAAATATTGATCCAAGAGGTCACAATGCCGAATCCGGCATCAAGGACCTGGTTAACGTACAGAAAAAACATGGTTGGGTTGGGTGTTGGTTATTGCAGTGATGCAATGGTCAGGGTAATGTGTGTTTTTTCCTTTGCACATGGTTTCAAGGTGCAATCACGTTGCATCATGGGAAAACTAGGATCCAGTGTTTTGGGGGGACTATGGTTAAGGACATGTCACACTTTGTTGCCTCTGATGTTTTGCACATAATGTACAATGTGTGTTTTTGTGAGTGGAGGACTAAATCCCTTGAGTGCCACTTTTATGATGTTTATTGAGCTTCTCCTTAACTGTTTTGGAAAATCTTGGCCATGAGTTAAAGGTTTTTCAAGATTTGAGAGTTGGCTATTGAAAGCACTAATAATAACAATGTATTGTAAAAATGTAATATTATGTCTAATTTAGTACCACAGTTTATAATTACTAGAGTCCGACCAATTAAAAGTGTGAGCCTTTCAAAGACACATCAGTATTGGTGTTTATATTTGTCAAAAAACATTTTGAAAACCTTTATTTTACAGAATCAACAATGTCAATATATTTTGTTGTATTTGTGTTTTATTTATAATAAAGTTGATTGTTAAACTGTAATATATATATATAAATATATATATGCTAACTGAAATGATCTCAGAGCCTTGGTGCAGACCTTACTCTTACAATATTATATTTTGAGAGCCACAACATTCTTTATTGAGCCAACACTTTTGGTGCCAAGGAGAAACTCCTTTTTATCTGCTGGAAACCTTTAATAGAACCCGGCTCTTAGTGTGCCGCTGTCTGCCTCTGCCCGGTTGCTATGAGAGATAAAGGGGAAGAGGATGAGAAGAAGTGTCAGCAAACTGTCATCATCACTGAAGCCTGTGTTGTTGTTGTTTTTTAGTGTGAGATGCTTGTGCCTGAGAAAAACTTCATCGGTAGTTGTCTCACAGAGCAAGTGGATTCTGATCATTGGAATTACACTGTTCGTGCCACTACCAACTGCAGTGGTTGGAATAACAGCACAAATGTGACTAAAACCATTGAAAGCAAGACGCCACGAGGTGAGTGCCAGAAAGCAAAAGGAAAACATACTAGAGTTTTTGTATTTAGATGCTCTGTCCCATTCATCCATTGCGATGCTTTAGAACCAGACTTGAATCTTCTACATGCAATGTATGTGTGTGACACCTTTGTTTTTTTTGTCATGCAGCTGAATTGTTGGAGAGCTTCGACTGTATGTTTGGTGTTGATGGAATTAAATGTTCATGGACCCCACTGAACTCGACTCAGAACCCCACAATATCCTATTGGTGAGAACATATATAAAATGCCAATAAATTTGATTTTTATGACTATCAACACTTTATCTGATTTAAAACAATAACAGCCACAATAGTTGTATGTAGAAAGACAGACGCAAACTTTAGCAATACAATAGAAAAAAGACACACACATATATCTATACACATACCTATACATATGTATACACACCAAATAAAAATACCACAGAATAAAAAAGTAAGGAAATAAAAAGATAACAATAAAGTAATTACTTTGAAGTTAATTGTAATTAAAGGGTGAGCTGATTTTGGGAGGATTCAAGGGTTTTTAATGTGACAGGTACTACTATTAGGTACTCTCCTCCAAGCTAAGAGAGCCACATGTGCCAGAGGGAAATCAACGTATTTCCACTCTCTAACAATCATTTTCCAGCCCAACATAATTGTTGTGTTAAACCAGTCTGCTCGAGGAGTTGGGAGGGGATTCAAAAAATGAATTGTTTCTGTGCAACTTGAATGAATGAATGAATAATCTTGGTATTTATATAAAGGATACATTTGTGAGATGTCTGCAGATGTAGAAGCATCAGTATGTAGTTACTAGCTCAGAGTAGAGGAAGATGGAACATTTTCATTCGAAAACAGCATTTTTCAACTGAAACATTTAGTCATTGAGTTTTTAATTGCAGCGCAGACAGACTTGATGATGTCACGCAATTAGTTTGCGGCAGGAGACGGCGGAATGTAAAAGGCAGCCACACTGACACATATGAACTCCCCCTGCCTCCCAAATGATATGGGTGCAGACACAGTTATCAATTCAGCAATTCAGTGTCTCAGATAAGGAGACATTTCACATGTCTGGTATAACACCGTTTGTACAGTCTGAAAGGTTGAAACAACATAAACATTGATACCGTTATCATTCATTCTTAAGGCTGGCAGGATTGTTAATGAGAAATATTTATTGTTCCATAAGTCTTAATATGTGAAAGCATCAAGTGGCATCCATGGTCCTTCTTTAAGATAGTAAGGACTAAGCCAATAAAGATCAAAACCAGAGCAACTCCTTGTGGTTCAACTTCCCTTCTACCGACCCCTCTCCTCACCTCTCTGTTGTGTCACTTCAGGGTTTGTGGCACACCTCCTGGAAAATTCAGTTTGCAAGCATGTCAACCAGACAGCAGTGGAGGAAGGCTTTATTGTATCCTGGACGTTGACAGAATTGACCTCTGCTTTCTTGTTAACACCAGCACTGCATGGAAAGTCTTTAGAAGTCCCATTGGTTGGTATTTTCTCCAGAAAAAGTTCTATTCATGTAATTACATGTGAAGAAAATAAATATAAAACATCTTCTGATCTCCCCAGGAACAGAATCACCAAAGCTGAGCATCACAGACAGGGATGAACAACTAATCTTAACTTGGCAAGCTCCAGAGACTAATATAAGTTGTACATGGATGTACGAATTCAACTACACAAGATGCAAGGCCCAAGTAAGTTGTCACCATTTATGACATATCTTTCTGTTGCAAATACCACAACTGGGAACATGTCTGCAGTACAAATATTTTCCACGTGTCTGTTTATATATCCAAACATTTAAATTCAGACAACTGCATCATATTCCATTAAAGCTCCATACTGAAGTTTCCCCTTACCTAACAAACTGTCCTCCTGTGTGTGATATATTTTCAGAAATGCACGAACGTTTCCCTGCAGCTCTCTCAGAATAAGATGACCAAAGTGCCGTACACCAAAGGCTTCCTTTACAATTTCACATACAGAGTGTTGACCAATGGCAGTTATTGCCAGACAATACTCGGCACATGGAATAAAAACGTAACTTATGGTAACCAACCCTCTTTTCTACACTGGTTTCTTAAGTTGTAAAACAAGAATTACTGCACATATATAAGCATTTTTTAGACATGACCTGCAGAGGATCTTCTGAAAATTGGGTTTCTCCGCCTTTCACAGATTCTCTCATGGTGGTCTCCTGCTGTGTTCTCATATTGATTTGCAGACAGAGATAACCCCTGTATATAATAATAAAAATACATTTTATTTATACTGCACCTTTTATACATAAAATGCAGCTCAAAGTGCTTTACTATAAAATCAAACACATGAAATAAGATAGATGAGTTTAATTTCTGACTTGAGGAATACTTTTTAAATTGTTCCTTAAAAGCTGACACTTGTCTGTCACTCTCCACAGGTATGGCCGACAACACTCAAGACTGGACGCTTATCTCTGTGGCCCTCATTGTCCCCACCATTGTGTTTTTCTCCATCATTCTGTCCTGCTACTGCTTCAGGAAGTATGTTTGGGACACAGAACTGAAAACATTGCATTGTAGCGTCTGTAGATGGTGCAAGGTTAAACTCATGGTGTCCAAGTTACTCGATGTTGCTGCACATGCCCTCATTTAGCAGTCCTTGAGATCTGTGTCAATAAACACATTCAATTTAGTTTTATTTGAATAGTGCCAAAGCAGAACATATATCTGTTTTTGTACTTTACATAGCAAGGTCGAGACCGAGGTTAAACAATGTGAATCTGCCTCGACCGATTGGGGGAAGAGGAGAGAGAGACCAGAAACAGTTGTGTAATCATATTTAAACTCTGTCTTTCTATTTTTTAATGAGAGAGAGAGAGAGAGATATGTAGAAATGTGATATACCACGGGGGCAGCCAGAGGAAGCGAGACAGAGAGAGGGAGTCAGACAAGTGTTAGTGCTCAGGGCATGATGGGAGTTCCCACATCAGTCTCGGCCTGTAGCAGAAGAAGAAATTAGCGCGATCACTCTGGTGTTATTCTTCCATTACTGGCAATCAGAGCCGATAAAAGGCCCTCGTCATTTGACTCGGGACTGAATGCTTGATTGTATCGATTCCTATCGCAGACAAAAGCCAGATGTTAATGGGGTGATGATGCTGATGATGACGGGGATATTGAATAGTGTCACTGAGATTATTGCAACACCTGACCTTTTTGTAAAAGTAGGTCAGTTGCTAGACAACAAACAGCTCATGTGTGTGTCAAGAAAATTCCCTTTAACATGAACGAAGTTACTGTTACTCTTAATCGAATCTGACTTTGTTAGAGATCTACTAAAAGCTGCGAAGCAAACATTAGTATTAGTTATGATGAGACATCACACAGTTTTTTTTAACTTCTAGAATGATTTAAAGATTAATAAAGCAAGTGTACTCTATGGCATGTTTCCACATCACACTCAAGTTTCTCAAAAGTCATGTTTGTACACGTTCACGAGCAGAGAGAATGATCGGAACGCTCTCCTATCCGCACTTCACTTGTGCTCGGATCACCATATCCACATTCGGAGCCTTCAGCACCAAAGATCTCACATTCTTCTGAGGAAAATAAACAGCTCCTTGTTGAAATATTATAAAAGTGTTTTGGTGGTGGAAATATTTTGTGCTAGTTTCATTTGATTCACTGGGATTGATTGTTGTTGTGTGTTCTGTAGGTACAGCAGCATTATTTGCCCCAACACACCAGATCCCTCTGCAATCTTCAAAGAAATGGTGATGGACGGAAACAAGGCATATAAGGTATTTATTTCTATATTGTCATGGCACTAATTCAAATATGGTTGCTCTACTCACCTGCTTTCTCTGCCCTAACAAACACTCACTACGCTGTTGTGTTTTTCAGACTGAGAATCTGTACACGCCGAAGCCAGAACAATCCTGCAGAGTAACCCTCATAAGCCAAAGTGGCGAGCTGCAGCAAAACCCCTGACATGCCCAGCCCCCCCGTGGCATCGTCATCCATTGAGTTGTGAGCTGCCATTTTGAAGCCTCGAGTTTGCCCATATTTGGCGGCGAATCGAGTACACTGCACGCCCACCTGCGCCTGCGACCTGCACCCATTGGACGAGAGTAACTGACACTGTGTACATGCCCCAATGCTCACTGTGGCACTATCATTTACAAAATTGTGCTTTATTGAATAGGTTTTAAACTTTTGATTGAGACCTGAAACTCTTAATTTCCTCATAGAATTCTACAGGAAATTGAAGTCCATTTGCAACTAAAACAGTAGGGCACCATCTGCTGGTCATTGCAGAGAATACAGGTGTCAGGCAACTTTGCAACTTCACTGGACTGAACTGGGTGAATTCCTCAGTGACATGTGTAGTAACTTAGCACCAGACTAAAAAGCTTTTTTCACTGACCTCTGATGGAAGCGTCAAGTCGGCAACTGTTTTACGTTTTACAAGTGAGCTCTGTTTTACCTGTTCTGTTCTGACCTGAGCACAATTCTGTACCACTCTGACCTCTAGAGGACGGGAAAGACGCAGTTCTCAGCTGCTATTAAGGAAGTCATGGTAATGGGTGGTGTTAAAGATGATTCAATCTCTGGAAAGTTATTTTCGTATGTTTAAGGACATTAAAGGTTCAGTGTGTAGAATTTTGTGTTATCTAGAGGTGAATTTGCATGTTGTTGCTGAATACTCCTCATTTCATCCTCCCCTTCCAAACATGAAAGAGGACCCCCCTCCATGTAAATATAAAGTTTTTAGATATAAAGAGCCCATTCAGTAATAAAGAAAACAACAATTCATACAATTAAGATTATTACACACCAGTGAAAACATCACTAGGATTGTTTTATATTCAATTTCTGCCAAAAATTCCTCAATCTTACACACTGGACCTTTTTTATTGAAAGGTCAGAGTGTGGGAGCGGGAAAGACGTGCAGCACCACGTTGGAACTAAACATGGGGCTGCAGCAGAGCAACTCAAGCATCCTCATTCGTTGGAGTTGAAAAAAAAGAAAAATAACCTAGGAACCCCCTAGGAACCCGAGAGAGCTTGTCATACCTGCTGAGGACAGAGGATGAAGACAAAGATTATAGCAGAGTGTATGCATGGAAGACTGCAATTGGGCCAGTGGAAGCTACTGTACATGGGCTCTTTCCCACCGGTAAGAAGAGCTGCTGTATCCCTGGGGACCCCTTGTTCTGATGCCTCCAACCACAGCCGCTCGACAACAGGCAGGAAGCAATTTCGTCAAAGCAATCGGGGTGACTTTACCAAGACTGTGTTGTATCAGCCAACTAATGAGGGAGAAAGCTTGTTATCTCTCAGCATGAATACAAACACTGTGTTTTACACAGAACTAAACATGCCAGTGCCCTTGTGTTTCTGCAGGAATTCTCAGACAGACTTGATCTTAATCTGAAAAGTAATGAAAAAGAATTACGCCGTGTTGTCAGGAAACAAACTGACCTGCGTGAACTTTGCCTGCAGACGCTAATGATTCTGATGTGATTTGTCGCGGTGTTGATGTTTGATTTCAACCTTTGCACTCAACTTTCAGCATTGTTTTGGATAATTCTCTGTTGTGAATTAACAGGCGACTGACAGTTGTACATGATTACAGCTTGATTACAACTTGCCTGTCAGGTCTGATGATGTTGTTTAATTACTCTTATGTGCCACACACCCAAAGTGCCACATCCCCAGTAGTGCACTCTAAAATGTGACAAGTTGATCTTACTTGTGAACACTCCATTTAGCTGGTATTATCTGTGAGTCAGCACCTGCTATCATGTAACATTACATGTGATAATCATATCATATTGTATACTATTGTGAAACCATACTTAGAGTTTATGCATAGATATATACATTTTTATAGTCATATGGTGAATGGGCTGGATTTATATTGCACTTTTATAGTCTTGATGACAACTCAACGCACTATACAGTATAGATTTGCCCTTGAAACACACATCCATACAGTGTGCAGCAGTTTATCACACGTCACCCACACATTGACCAGCACAGATACAGCACCCAGGGATCCAACCAGGGACCTTCTTGTTAGGGGGTGACCTACTGTACCTCCTGAGCCACAGCTGCCCACATATAATGTGTACTGTATACTTGACCTGCCCATATATTTGTATTAGTCTATATATGTTAAGGACTATATATATATATATCTGTGAGTTAACACTGACTTGTCAGGAGCTGAAGCCTGGTCCGACTGAGGCAAGGCGTCAGGTCAGGGTTAGGCATGCACTGGTCTTGGTTTAGGTTATCGGGAGAAGATTTTGGTGAAGCTTCCCACAATGAATAAAAGTCAATGCAGAGTCCTAATAAGGACAGCTGCAGGAACTTACCACACTGATGGATATTTGACCATTTATGGTATCTGTGCATGTAGTCATTCTATCTCAGGGTTATCTGTTATGAATACATCAAAATACTTTTTTTTTTCATTTAACCGCTCAACCTCTGAATATAAAAAATGTATTTTAAGTAGAACTTACTATAGTTTTATATATTCCTGTAGTAAAACATATTTCAGTGCCGCAGAACATAATGATAAAAAAGAGTTTGAAACTAAATATAACACATCATTTTGTGACGGCCCTCACACCCTAAGTCTGATTAACTTAAAATTCAACACACAAGTCCAGCTCAATATGTTCTACAAAAAAGCCTCTTGGACCATAAAGTCCGCCATGATCATTGTTTGGCTAATTTGCGTAAATTGAAAAGCAGTAGTGTGACATCTTCACATGAGACTGAGATACATATGTCTACTATAAATGAGCAGGATTGGTCAAAAAAAAAAGAATGCCATTTACCCAAAAAATATTTAGCAAAACAGGACATTGGCCTTCATCATTTGATTCAATCATCATCAAACTTGGTAGATGCACTATATTGCCAAAAGTATTGGGTCACCATGCTTGACTTGCATATGAACTTAAGTGCCATGCTGTTCTTAATCCATAGGGTTTAATATGACATCGGTCCTCCCTTTGCAGCTATAATAGCTTCAACTCTTCTGGGAATGCTTTCCACAGGGTTTATGTTTATAAAAAGTGTGTTTATAGGACTTTTTGACTTTCTTCCAGAAGCGTATTTGTGAGATCACACACTGATGTTGGACGAGAAGGCCTGGCTCTCAGTCTCTGATTCATCACCAAACTGAACACTTGGATATTGATACTTTTGGCAATATAGTGCACTTTATACACCCATTTGGATGAGTGAGTGAATAATTTTGGCAACTTTGTGGGAACAGTTTGGGGATGGCCCCTTCCTGTTCCAACATGACTGTGCACCAGTGCACAAAGCAAAGTCCATTAAGACATGGATGAGAGAGTTTGGTGTGGATGGATTTGACTGGCCTGCACAGAGTCCTGGCCTCAACCCGATGGGATAATTTAGAGCAGAGACTGACAGCCAGGCCTTCTCGTCCAACATCAAATGTGTGACCTCAAAAATACGCTTCTGGAAGAATGGTTCCCATAAAGACACTCCTAAACCCTGTGGAAAGCCTTCCCAGAAGAGTTGAAGCTGTTATAGCTGCAAAGGGGATTAAGAATGGGATGTCACTTAAATTCATATTCGAGTCAAGGCAGGTGACCCAATACTTTTGGCAATATAGTGTATTAGTGTATTATAGTGACTTAGATACACATTTCTATTCAAATCATCAGGATTTTTCAAAAAATCAATGCTGTTACTAACCAAAAACGTTTGCAAAGGGCGGGGCTCAGCGTAGAAATTGGCCATTTAACTATTTGTCTAATCATCCTGTAACTATTTAGATAAAACACCAAAAACATGTACTGCAATAACTAGTCAACAGAATTTCACCTAATTTGGCGTCAATGTTGTAAGAGCAATTATGATCCAAACTATAAAGTGACAAAAGGCTGATTAACGGCGCAACTCTGATTCCTTAGTTGTCGCACCGCTACTGCCATTGAAAAGACACAGGTGACTGTTTCCATTTCCATTTCCATTTAGGGCATTTAGCAGACGCTTTAGTCCAAAGCGACTTACAATAAGTACATTTGCCACAAGAGAGAAGTCACATCATATCACCGTCGATGGGGTAAAATGAAAAATATAGAAACAATTGGCAAGCCCTCATCTGAGGATCGTAACTGCCACTTAGACGAATGTTAACTGGTGGAAGTGACTCGGCTGTTTGAGCTGTTTCTTCTTGTTGAACTGCTTCCTCTTTTTGAGCTGCTTATCTTCTCATGTCGTTATCTTCTCATCTTGTTCTCTTTTGTTATCTCTTAGAATTTGATGTTATCTTTTTTTTGTATATTGTCTAATCCTCTTATGTTATCTTCTTATGTTATCTTCTTGTGTTATGTTCTTATGTTATATTCTTGTGTTATCTTCTTGTGTTATGTTTTTGTGTTATCCTCTTATCTTACTTTCCTATCTTATATTCTTATCTTCTCATGATATCTTACCTTCCTATCTTATCTTCTTATCTTCTCATGATATCTTATCTTCCCATCTTATATTCTTATCTTCTTGTGTTAGATTATCTTCTTGTTGTATCTAATCCAGAACGTGAGACTTGGTGGTGTATTTCCATTGATTCATACAACCATTGGTTCCTGCTCGTAAAAAAGCTTCCCCGTCAGAAACGGGAAGCTCTCCGCCCAGTTCCAGCCTCCATGCTCCTGACGTCTTCCTGCTTTCCGATGAAGCACAGCTCTGGGTCAACGTGACTCAACCATAGACTGAATCCTCAAAACTTTGTAATTTTGTGGAGGAAGAATATTGACTCTTGGCAGCGGAGGTGAAGACGAAACCAGGGAAGGACGAGTGAAAAGACAAGATGACTGGAAGGACTGGAAGTTTGTCCTTGTTCCTTATAGCTCGGCTCTTTCTGATGGTGGAATCGCACACGGGTAAAAACACACACTTTTGATAACACGCTTTTTAAAAAAAATCTTTTTCCATTTCTCGATATTATTCTTGAAAAAACTTTATAAAACTTAATCCCCTGACAGTTTGTTTCCATAGCAACGACACACAGTGACTTGTAAACAGGTTTCTGAACTTCATATCCTGTTGCGCTGGGATTTCGATGAAGTCTGATTTGCCTGTAGACACAGAAACATGTTTCACTTGTAATTTATATTTACATTTATATATCCAGGTTATAACGGGACATAACATGTCCTCAGCAAAACTAGAGACGCCCTCAGCAGAGTATGGAGGACCGAAACTGCCAAATCTTAAAAAAAAGAACTTTAATAAATAAATGAACAACCAGAAAATCCAAGTAAACGTAAAAGAGATGCATGATTTAAAAAACAAAAACACAGTTTGGTGATGAACCAGCTTATTTATGAATTAGCATCAGAATCAGAATCAGAAAAGCTTTTATTGCCAAGTAAGTTTACACACACATGGGATTTGTTTTGGTGCATGTCAGACATCTCTAAATTTAAGAAGATTAAAAAAAATCGAGTATTAAAATTTAACAATGTAAATATAATAATATATACACAGTATGTTTTTGAAGGTAAAAAGGAAAAATAGGAAGAGCAGTACAGCTGAGTAAGTACAGTGTGCAAGTGTTCACAGTATGCAGAGTATTTCCAACATGCAAGTATTTATTTATTTCTGTGTGTATTGTATTGAGTTAGTTATTTATTCACTTTGTATTTTGGCAGACAAAAAAAAACAAGCTTAACTTATAAGCCTACATTGTGTTTCCTAGATACACAATGGTTGAATTTACAGTAACACTGTTATTAAACTACTTTTAAATCAGCCAGATTCAGAAATTGTTCATTACAACCCGCTTATTGTATCTTAGATTTTTCAGATTCAAGCGTGATTCTCTGAGAAATCAACAGGAAGGCTGAAAAACATCCTATTTCACAATGTTAAAGAAATTGAAAAGAAAATCCTGGATCTGCCCCCTGATCAGATCCACGGCTCAAATTTGTATTGGTTCTTTCTCAACCCATAACATATTCTTGCAAAATGTTTTGTTGTAACCTGTTGAGTACTTTTTGTGTAATCCTGCTACAAACATAGTTTGGCTGATGAAATAAGGACACTAATGTGCACCAAAGCAAACTCATTGTTGACACATTTAAAACATTTTGGTCGAGGTAGGTGGTGTGCTTGAGGGCTAGCTGTCTGATCTTACTATATTCAAAACCATGAATGTCACACACCAGAAATAACATGTAAAATAATTTACCTCCAGGGATGGATGTTTCTAAATCAGGGACCAGGGAGTCTCTGGCTTTGAGCATAAATGCTTATGTTCCTTGTTCAAGCATTGTGTGTAAAAATTGTTTTCATATTTATTGTGTTTTAAACTGGAGTGCATGCAAATCAAATAAGACATAAGATGCTAAGAGCAGAGCCCCTCTGGCCCGGCCCCGAATCCTCAAATGCTCATGTTGATGGGAAATTGTTTAGTGTGAATGTGTATACTACAAAATGCATTTGCACATACACAGAAGTTGATCACAACCCAGCTGAAACCCTATGTTATGAGATGTCTGTCTCCTTCTTCACCTGAGGCCAAGTCTTACCACCACAAAATCTGTCCCTGCTGTGGATTAACGACTTTCAACCTCAGTTGACCTGGGACCCACTGCAGCATTCAGCGGTGAATTGCACCTTTCAGGTGCTTTCATATAAAACAGGAATATCAGAAGACAGCTTTACGGAAGTGAGTTTCCATATGTCGCTCCATTTTGTAAAATGTATTTCTTCTTCATGTTTTTCATAAAAGGTTTCATGAACACATCTCATTTTAATCGTATTTGACTGCCAAATCAGTTGGGGCGATAATATTGGCCAAAATTAGTCTTCCACAGACATATCGGTGTCAGCGTTTATTTTTGCCGATATGAAAACTGAAGATGAGCATTTGTTTTGACATTTACATACGTTCATTTTTAAATTCAAGTTCTACATATTTGGTTGTATTTGTGTTTCATTTTTATAATAAGTATATACGTTTATGATTCAACAGTAAAATGTCAATCCATCCATTACATTTGTTTTTTGATAATAACATCTTAGGAATCACTGCCAATGTTTTATTATTATTATACATTTTATTATATTTAAGTTAAAATTTCCTCCTGGAAGCAACAGATCATTTTGGTGCCCTGAGTTAATTAAAATTCTTTGGATTATTATTATTTACATATGGTTGGGAAGTATTGCTAGAAATTCATTTGCCACAGTATTTATATGCGATGAATACAGTTTATACTCCGATATTAGATGTGCTGAAGTTTGTGTGTGTGTTTTTGTTTTTCAGGATCTCCATTCCCCTCCCTGGACCCGCCCTACCACCGTGATGAACGGAGGATTTCTGCATTTTTCCGTTGTAACTAAATGTGATAACAGAGAGAGCGAGCCGGCTGTCCTCAATGTCTCTTATCCAGGTAGCTCACTTTGCTCCCTTCAATTTTTTGAGTACACAAAGAAATAGGCTAAAGCTTTTTGAATAATATTTTGACTGGATTCATGTGTTTGCTCCTTCCAGTGATGAGGGACGTGCAGTGCTACAGGTACTCCTCAAATGACGTTACCTGCTTCTGGAAGCCAGCTGCTCCCAAGCAAAGTGTTCATTTTTTCTATCGGTATGTGTCATTTGTTAAGGCCTAGCCAAATACGGTGATTAAGTGTTGAATAAACATGGCAGACTGGCATCAGCCAAACCCAGAAATCCAAAGCTGAAAAGCACAGGCTGCACAAGTTTGTTTTCTTTACAGAAAAGGAAGAGTTGCTAGCTTTCTTATAACTAACCAGCTTCTGGCTGTCAAGTCAGACATAAGAATGTTGAGCTATTTATTGAATCGTATCGAAGAGTGTATGTGTTAAATGTTCATTTCACTAGTTCTTTTTTCTTTAATTTACTTTTTGGGGATTTCAGAATTAGTGTGGAGCTTAAGAGCTAATCACCTTTTTTTCTCTCTCTTTCCAAGAGTGGTGAAAAAGTATCAATCTCTAAACGAGGTTACCCCTTTACCCCCTTTGCAAGAGTGCTCGTCATATAATATCACCCTAGGCGTCAGGACCGGCTGTAGGCTGCAGTCCAACCTCCAACAGGAAATTCAGATTTTGTTCAACGGGACGGTGAACAACACGCCTTTCAGGAACACTTTCAGCAAGGACAATATAAATGATGGTATGGTGGAAAGAATTGTATTGAAATACAAGATGTACTTCCTTCTTCAGTCCAAGAAGTTGCTCTCTGTCCTTTCTTGGAAATGTATTCGTTACAATTTCTGGAATATCTGTCATGCCTGTCTCTTCACAGTGAAAGAATCCCTTAACTGGACAGTAAAAAAAGATGGGAATAAATTCACCATCGGATGGAATACTCCTGACATCACAAGCGGTTTTCAGGCGTTTCAGATCAACTACACTGAGTGTCAGAAAAAGAAGGTAAGAGATGTCACTGTGACGCATTAAGTCCATTTATTTTAGGCTCAATAGGTTCCATTAATAATCATCATAACATGTAATAATTTCAATTTTAGCAACTGGATGCCTAATTGAATACCTGAGATTGAGAGTGAAGAAGTTATATTTCAGTCAAAAGATATGACATACTGTATATATCTGTTTGCTCTCCTTCACTCACCTTTCTTTACATTTTTTTACATTTTTGAAATGAATAATATACCTTCAATTCAAGGGGGGTTTGACAATGCCACGATGTAAACTGATATGTGAGTGATTAACCACTATAACAATTATGTCTTCATTCTCCCACAGGATCTGTTGATACAAGACATAAAACAAACATCATATGAGCTGAACCGGCTGCCTGACTGCCAGTACCGCATGGCAATGAAAGCTTGTTACTCAAAATTTAATACAGAATGGAGCGAGGAGAAATATTTTGGTATGGTCTTCATCTCTCTGTTTGA